TAATTCTTTTACACTGAAGGGTAGATAAAAGGGAAATAAATGACATATTTCTATAGCAGCTATTAAAAACATATTTTAGAGCAATAATAAACAGCATGATGATACCAGGCTCTGTAATCCATGAATAGATCTTCAAAACAGATATCTTCAAAAACCACATTAAAACACAGAGTAAGTGAGTCTTCTGCATAAATGATCAAGGCAAGTCAGAGAAGGCATGAATACTGCAACATGATGTGAGGAAATCAGGAACTCTGCCTAGCCCCCCACCAGTCTTCGTGCTGCCAAGAGTCCCTGTGCACGTGGCTCCTTCTACTTTCCCAAATGTGCACCTCTCTTGCCTCCCCTGGCCCCCCTCCCACATCACCTTCTTGCCTTCTGCACATGCTCCGCTTGGTCTCGGCTCAGGATTCACTCTTCCTAGGCCGTCTGTCTAGGGACCCTGACATTCAAATATAACCTCCTTCAAGATGGCCTGTCCCCAACAATCAGGACTAAAACACCACCATCGTCCCCACACCAGGCTGCTGCTCCCTGACAGTGGACACTCCTGTCACTGCTACTTTCTAGGATTAACTTATATAACATGTCCACTGTCTCTAACAATGCAAGAGACCCAAGACCTGGGGACATGCTTTGAGTTCTTGGGGTCTGGAGGACCTCACAGCACTTACTAGAGGCTTAAAATACGTGTATATGTGTTGGTGTATGTATAGGCTTATGTGTATATGTGCACACATGTGTACAATGTATGTGTACATGTGTCATATGCACTGTGTGTATGTATATGTATGTACAGATATATGTGTATCACATCCACATGTATGCATGACATGAAGATAACAATCACAAATTAAACACAGATTTATCTTCTTCACAATAACCTTGGACAGGTATGGGGGCACATGCCATCTATCCCAGCTCTTAGGAGAATCACCACAAGGTCAAGCCTGAATCATACAGCAAGACCCTGCCTGAAAAAAAGTAACAATAATTTTGTATTAAACATACATATGCATGTATGTTTAATGACTATATGTTTAAAGACCATAATGAATTTAGTAGAACATCAAATTATTTACTTACTGATTTGTTAGTAACAGTGAGAGATCTATTGGTATCACACATCATCATCTAATTATAATCTTATCCTCACCACTTATTTTTACCATCTTCATAAACTATCTGTAAATAGAGCATGGTTATATAAACAAGATGCTTCCTGAGCTAAATTTTTAATTCCAACAGAATTTACATCCTGTTACCCACTGTGATTCCCACTGCTCTACAAATTCAGGCCCCCAGTGAAAAATATGTAGAGGTGACTAATAGCAAATGAGTCCCCAAAGTAAAAACAAGGGTGAACTTGTCCATCTGAATGGACAATTTGGACACTCTTCAGTTACTCTTCCTCTCCCCACACACCTGCATCTCCACAAAACCTCTCATCCTGCAGTCAGTCCCATCCACTCCCATCCCGTGTGAGCGCCTCATTACGTATCTCCCCACCTCCTGCCACAGTGAACTAGGGAAAAAAGGGACTGCAATGAGAGTGAGAGAGTGACAGGAGACCACTTTGCTATTACTAAAATAAGAAGAGGGTGATACTCTGGAGATTTGGATGGTCCAAGATCTGACAGCTGTAAATCTCTCACAAATTCCAAATCTCATTCCAAATAAACAGGCTACATATATATAAAAGATGGACTCTAATTATTTTATATATTTCACATCCTAAAACAACTAGCAACAGTGCACATGAAATGTTTGTGTCTGTTGTTTGGGTGGGAGGTGGTTGCAGGATCAAGAATTACAGTTGACTGGAAATTTTTTTAATACTCTTGGACTGTTCCGCAAAGTTTAATTATTCACTTCTTAAAGAACAGTAGTAAAATTTACAGGAAGGGCCTTGGCTTGAATTGCTTAGATAATATAGTTCAATGTCTTCAGCAAGCCTTTTTCTTTATGAGACTGTTTTACAATAAAACACAATACCCATTTCTGAAACTGTAGGAAAGTTCAACACAGCCTCAGGACTAATTTGGCTGGGCCAGGCCACATATTTGGTCTTATTAACGTATCTGTCCTAAGGACAAGAAATTGTGCAGCTAAGGCCCCATGAAGAAAAATTGCTTCCTATAATTTTCTTCATAATTTTGATAAATAGAAACCAGATATGCTTTTACTTTCAGCATTTCCTCCTATGGAAGTTATAACCCAGAGATTGAACTCTTGCATAATCTGGTTATCAATGATCTTGTTTATTGAATATTCTAAATGAAAATTATGTAACAATACTTCTCTTTCCACTCCATTCTAAAAATATATATTATTGGATCTATTCTGCCACTGAAATCCAACTACATACTGACGTATTTAATTTTCCTCCAGTTAAAAAAAAAAGTATTTTTCCACAGTCCCAGATGTGCTTCATAAGAAAAAAAAGACATTTGAACACATACTCAATTTTTCACCTTCCTGCTCCTCTATCAGTAGAACTACAAACAACATACAAACCGAAACTGTGAAATACAAATGTTTGTTCTATATAAAAGTAAAACAGATGTATCTGTATCACACCACTGGTGTTCATAGCACACAGAAAATTAGCCACTGGGCATGGTGGCTCACATCTAGAATCCCAGCACCTGGGAGGCCAGGAGTTCGAGACCAGTCTCAATGACATAGCAAGACTCTGTCTCAAAAAACAAAACAAAACAAAAAAAAAAAAGCAAAACAAAGAAAATCAGCTGCTTGCCACCTATGTTTCATACAGACCCCAGGCCAAAAACTGAAAAAGCACACTGCACACTTCTTAGCCCAGGCAAGCTCCATCTATGCTACTATTTTGTCCTCCGTGCTTCTAATAATTTCAAATTTACATTGTAATAAGAAGAAAACTGTCCAACAGAGGTTCCCGCCAGTCTCTTGAAAACAAAAACCCCACCTCCCCCTCAGTATGCTAAGCTTCAGGCTCTGATACGCATCCTCCAGGAACAGAAAGTTCTGAACCTGAGGTTACTCCCAAGGAAATAAGGCAGTCAGGGCAGAACGGACATGGAGAGCTATCTCTCCTTTAGTACCTAAGCCAGTGTCAAATGTCAGAACAAGAATGTAAGAAACAATGATTAAAGGGACTGATGGGAGTCACTGAAGCAGAAATCTAGGATCCTGACTTCTCAATTCTTTCCCAGAAAGGCAGCCACTGGCCGCTCACGGCTATTGGGCTTTTGAAACATGGCAAATGCAACTTAGGACATAAACTGAATTGCTTGTGAAACAAGGTCTCACCCTATTTCCCACAGAACTCCGAGGCTCAAGCCACCCTCCTGCCTTAGCCTTCAGAGTAACTGGAACTACAGGCATGTATCATCTCTATCTAGCTATTTTATTTCATTTAATTCATTTAATTAATTCAAATTTAAGTGAGCAAAAGTGACTAGTGGCTATCTATTCAGATTATCATAAATAATGCCTCTTTCATTCCTTTACAGTTTTGCAGTACTAGACACTGAATCTGGGGCCTTCACACTAAGCTACATTACCAGCCCCTTTTATATTTTATTTTGAGACAGGATCTTACTAAATTGCTAAACTGCCCAAGTTTGGCTCAGATTTACAATCCTCCTGCCTCAGCTTCCCACAGTGCTGGGATTACAGGCATGTTCTACCATGCCTGGCTTTATATCCTTTTTAAAATTCAGTGACAGTCTCCCGTCTGGCTGGCTCCACAGTCCGGACAACTCAGGGTTGACTTGACTTTTCACCCTGAGTTCTCCTGTCTGACCTATGTCCTTAAAATGTCTTGCTTCCAGCAAAGCTCTGGAGCAGTCCTTCCCAGCCCAAAAAAATGGGCTGCACATATCACTCTTTCTCTTCACTTACCCACGATGGAAGCTGAGTAGAAACTCTTTCTAAAGAAAGGAACTGATTTACTACACACTGTCCTGACCCAAAAGCAAGAAATTAAATCCACTGGTTTATCAAAAAGCCTCTTCCAAGCTTAAATTTTTAGATAGGTAAAATGGCATTTCCAAAATTATATCATAGACTAATCCTTGTACCCAAAGTCTCACAAAAATCTGCCCCCACGTCAACACATTTCATCTAACGGATATCAGCTGTTGGGAACTACAAATTATAAACTGAGTCCAGGGGATGGCCAAAGCCTACACTTGTTTTGTACTGTGGGCCAGATGCAGAAACTCCCTGCTCTTTTCTGGTCACAGGTAGAAGCCCTAGGGCTAATGACTGCTGTGAATCTCACAGGCAAGATAAGATCTGCTGAAGGCGATGAGGTACTGGTCATAGCCTGGGTCTCATCCTTATCCTTCTAAGAATGCTCTGTTCTTTTTCCTAGCCCACTATGGTCACCATTACTGTTTCCGGAAACACCCGCTGTCCTTGACTCAGATGTAATAAATAAATACAGAGGTTCTCACTGTCTATGGTCTCTTTTCCCTGCCGAGAACTACCAGTCATCCCAGATCTCTGCCTGTGCCTCTGTTTTGTCTCTTGCTCATGGTTCCTGCCATGGCAGGAGACTGGGGACTCAGTGCAGGGATCCCAGGTAACTGGCACTGTGGAAAGGGCTTTTGATAACCAGCAGTTATTCAGCACACACACCATGCAGACAGCCCTATGGATCATCACTTCAAAAGTGTGCTGCTGTTCTGCTGTTATTAATAAAGATATTTCAGTACCTGGAGTATTATTCATAATCTGTCACTCATAGAAAGCTCAGGTCACACGTGTTCTTTTATAAATACTGGTGTAACTCCTGCCCTCTATGGTATGTTCTTAAACATTTGACAGCTCTGCTATGTCTGATGCAATCTATTTCTTGCTATTTGTCAGGTTTTATAATTTGAAAAAAAGTAATAGTTGCAATGTAACAGCTAGGATAGGAAGATAAAGCAAAAACAAAAACTTGACAAAAAGATAAGAAATTGGATTCAACATGGGTCTGACAAAGCAAGGGCCGCTTGGCCAGCACTCACTGGTTCAGCACGACGTCGAGGATGAAGGGTGTCCCAAAGGCCTCGACCTGGAAGCTCGCCCGGTTCACATGAGTCGACTGCAAGATCAGAAAGAGGAAAGGCACTTAGTGCTCGGTGGGAGCAATCAGATAATGGTATTTTAAGGATAACTTTAAGAGGTTTATGGTACCCCCAAATCAGAAAACCAACCCGACACGTAGAAGAAATGAAAGCATAAGAAGGCGGTTTTTGCATCTTCACAAAAGCACCCCACTGTCCAATCCAGGAGCTCTGACTGGGCCGGCTCTTCTATAGCACAGAGGTAAAACATTCACTTCTAAGAACTTCCTTGCATTAGCCCTATTCTTATTAAATGACTACCTCCATTTATATTAAGCTTTGCACATTTGAAAAGAAAAAAGTGGAAAATATGCTCCATTCAAAAGTGAAATAATACAGTGAATATGATCTATTTACAAGGAAGATTTCTAAACCTCTAAAAACTCTTTCAGCTTATCTCAAATACCGATTTTAAAAATAACATTCTAGTTCTATTTACCAAACCTAATTGCAAGTTTTCACATCTCTCTAGAAATAAAATTCAAACCTCTGCATGTCTGCTGTAAATATCACCAATCAAAATTTTCCTGGATAAAAATAATCACTGATTCCCACAATATTCTATGAACTTCCAGAGAGAATCCAGGTAACTCTAAAAAATATAGGTTTACCAATTCTGTTAGTACTGGGCACACTGAATGATTACATTAATTGTGGAAAAAGAATGTTAAACTTTTCTATTTTACGCAAATACTAACAGGAACATTATCTAAACAAGACTATGAACTACTGGAATTTTTGTGTATTTCTACAATATCCCATTTTCTAAAGTAAACATATATGATTCCTGCATTGGGGGGGACATTATTTTAGTGATTAAAAACCATCTGAGCAACTACATTCAGTACATGAGGCTGACGATGTTGCTTCCTGAGAACTAGCACCTCACATACAGGACCCCTGAGACCCTGTGTTCCCTGGGGCATCCCAACCATCCCTGGGATTTTACACGCAGGGAACTATGCGACTAGGTGAAAGGGAAAAAGCTTAATTAAGCTTTCTGGAAGGAACAGATGATTCTTTTGATTAAAAATCTTTGAAAGAAGTTGGGGTGGGAGAATGTTATACCTCACTTACTAATACATTGTTGTAATTATGGTTTGCTAGGGAAAAGACAATACAGAACACATAGTTTATAGGGTTATTTTATCATAATCACCCAAAATGTCAAATGCAGAAGAGTACAAGAGATCTGTCCACATACTAGAGACCCAAAGAATCCAGCTGAGGGCTTGGATCCCACAGCAATGTTCTGCACGAGTCCAGCTGAGCCCATGACAATGTCTCACGCAAGTTTGAACCCAGGATCTACACTGGGAAGGCCCAAAAGTCAGTGGTGGAAGCTATCGAGTCTGTGCCAGCAGCATGAAGGATCTGTGCCAGCAGGCTGAGGGATCTGCACTGGAGCCAGGAAGCAATGCTCAAGGACCAGAGCTCTGCCAAAAAGAACCGCAGCCGTCCCCACTGACAGTGAGGACCCAAGCTCCTCTGACATGAGAACAGCCAAGTTCACACCAGGAAAGCCAGCATGACAGTTTTCTCCAGGAGAATCAACAGCATCATCTTGCCCTCCAGTTCTCATTTTATGCTGTTGGCAACAAACCTCTGATGGGCCTTCCACATCCCACACTACACTGATTCTGTTCAGCTGGGCATTACAAGTTGACCATTGGCTAATCTAACACATAATGCACTCCCCATAGAACTCCAAAGTTGAACTATCTGGATACCTCTCAGCTTCATTAGTCACTCTATGTTAACTCTTCATTCTTCCCAACTAACCACCGAACTTCTATCTTTTTAAGATAGTTTTTGGGAGTCACACTTTTACTCCTCATTCCTAACCTCTGTCACAGATCATTTCCTCCCCACTGCTGATTCTTTTCTTGGTGGTATTGGTGATTGAGCCCAGGACTCATGCATGCCCAGCAAGTGCTCTACCACTACACTGCCAGGAGAGGAGGGGAGGAGAGGGGACAGAAGGGAAGGGGTGCTACACTGCCATCTATCTCCTAACCAGAACCCCAAGCGCAAGCCCCAGATGCTCCACTCTTCACATACAAAACTCTCACCCAGGTTTCAAGATCCTCCACATTGCCTCTCCCACCCATGCCAGTCACTTCACACAGCTCCCAAGTACAACCTAGCCACACTGATTTCTCTTACCTACTCTTTAGTTCTACACTATGTGTATTCCAACTCTTTCTGTAGCTTTGAGTCACTCTTTCTGCAGAGAACTTTCCTAAAGCAGACCCTTCAGCAAAGCTGTATATTATGAGTGGCCCTACCATAAGACTTAAATCAAGCTCCTCCTTCTGACATCTGCTGCAGGTACTGTAACAAAACATCACAGGCCAGGGGACTAAGCCCACAGAAAAAGGTTTCCTGACAGTTTCAGAGGCCGGAAGTGTTGGCAGACTTGGTTTCTCAGGGCTTTCCCTGTGGCCTACAAGGGCCGTCTTCTCCCCTTGTCTTGAGGAGGTGCTCTTCTGTGAGTGTGCACTGCTGCTGTCACTTCTCATGCAGACATCACAGCTTTGGGTCAGGTATCCCACACTTACAGCTCACTTAACCTTGGTCAAGTCTACAAAGGGCTTCTCTACAAACACAAACACGTTCAGGGTTACAGCTTCCACCCATGAACTACGAGGGAACACAATGCAGTCCATGACTCTCTGCTCTCATGACACCTTCCCACCTTCTTCCAGCCTCTTCGCTTCCTCCTCAAGGCGAAGACCAGCATCAGTATCAAATTAGCAGATCTTAACGGAGGACTCAAAAGAGGGTTCTTTTATCAGTTACCTGGATATAAGCACTTGGTAATGAAATGCAATCATCCCACCACGGCTGCCCTGAATGCCCTGTCAATGATAATGTTCCCCACCTAAAAGCTCTTAGGGTTTCCTGAAGTGCTAAGGATTCTGTTTGGGAAACAGCCTGAAGTAAGCTCTGCTTACCGGAATTGACGACTCCTTTAAAACGATCCTCCCTGCCTCCACTCTCCAAATAGGCACCTGTGTAACTATTTCAGACCTTACCCCATCTCCTTCCAATTAGAAACACTAGCATTGTTACTCTGTGGTGAACAGAGGAGAAACATGTTCTTCCTCTTGGCAACCGTACTATGGTTTAGATCTAGGCAATAACACCACGGGGAATGGTTACTCACTATTTGCAGTGACTCTATTCTTTTGGGGTTTTTTGGTGGTACTAAGGATTGAACCAGGGTCATGCACATGCTAGACAAGTGCTCTATCACTGAGATACATCCCTTATCCTTTTTATTTTTACTTTGAAACAAAATCTCGCTAAGTTGCCCAGGGTAGCCTAAATTTGTGATCTTCCCACCTCAGCCTCCTAAGCAGCAAGGATTCCAGGTGTGTCACATCATGCCTGGCTCTCTTTCTAATTAATCTGTGATTGTACACATTGTATGGTATGTTAAAACATAAGATAGGCAATAATCAAACCAGCGTAGCTAGCATTTCCATTTTCTTTATAATTTCTTTTTTAAAATTTGTTTACTGGTACAGATCTATAGTACATGATAATCACATTCATCATGGTGAATTGGTACACATACATGACATTTCTTAATTCCTTTTTTAGTCCCCTCCTCTGCTCTCCTTCCCTGCCCTGCATCTCTTGGACCTCTTCATATACATATGTATTTTTTTATTCATGTCTGTAGTGCGTGATGATTACACTCCTTTAGGGACTTGGTGCATGTACACAGCCCTTCCCAACACCCCAGCTCTCCTCCATCTCATTTCCCTCTCTTGTCTCCCTCCTCTGTCTCTTAGCTTCCTTTCCATATGTCAAAGATCTTCCCATTTCTTACATCTACATTTTGGGTCACTCCTCTCGGTTATTCATAAAAGACAACACCTACTGTGCCCTGTGAACACTAGAAAGTATTCCTGTTCCCTAACTGTGTTAGGTGGCCACTCTCCAACCTACCGCGCCCTCCTCTCCACAGCTGCTAGTCATTACTGTTCTACTCTCCTTCCCTTTAAGATCAACTTTTTTAGCTTCCACATGTGATAGCATAACCAGTACATCTGGATTATTTCACTTAATATCCTCAGTTCTACCCATTTTGCTGCAGATAAACTGTCTAACTTTTTTTATATTTTCTTTACTCCTATAATTCCTTTTGGTATTTGGTATTTTATCTTACTGGCCTCATCCATATCCCAAAGTGCGATTCATCTACTTATATTCAAAAGAAAATCAACAGGCAGCTTGCTTAACTGCTCCTTGTTAAAACATGTTTGCATTACTGAGAGTGCTAGAACAGGAATATGTTACTATACTTTTAACGTAAGACAGGCTTCTTTGAGACTGTACACAGATTGGTTTTTCAACAAACTTCTGAGAGTCCCCCAGGCACTGGAGACTATGCAGCTCTTTGGACACGGTGGTGAAGACTGACCCCTCCTGCTCCAGATGATCTAATATTCAAGTGAAGGAAGGCAGAAAGTGAAAAGTCAACTAAAATGCTAAGTTAGAAAGGAAATACACTGTTCGCAGATGTCATAAAATCAGCAGTGCCATCACACGTGGCTGAGAGAGGGGGCCCTGGCAGGCTCCTCTGAAGAGGTCACTCCCGGGAACAGCATCAGGAGTGAGAAGGGGCAGTGGGCAGATAACGACCTCCAAGATGCACGGAATCCATGCCCAGTCATCTTGCATGGCAAAAGGGACCCTGCAGATGTGACTTAAGTAAGGACTTGGAATGGCTACCCTGGATGATATAGGGATTCCAATCGAATACTGTGGATCCTTCAAAGAGGAAGGAAAGGGTCACACTGAAAGAAAGGGCTGTGACAGCAGTAGCCAGGGTGACAGGAAGCAAAGTGGATGAGGCCAACACTTTCCTGTAACCTCTAGAAACTCAGGGGGCAAAGGAAGGTCTCCCTTGGCCTCCAGAAGGAGAACGATATAGCCAACACTTTCATCTTAGCTTTAAAAGACT